TGCAATGGGTGCCTACATACATAGTTTGCATGGTTTTGAGTATGCATATTTACTAGATAGTCGTCATCATGAAACCCAGAGTATATGGCAAGAAACTCTCTACACATGTAGATAATTCTAATTGGGGCCAATAAGGTATCATTCTCTTGGCTTCTGTCGACGTAGAACGGGGGTCATCATTTTTGGATATGTTCATAATATACATACACACAAGCCAAATCATAACATTTGCAGTATTTTCAATCGCAAGGAAATCAATCCCAATCATCATCATAATCTTCAACGTTCAGATCATCGTCTTTCTTGTAGTCGTCCTCGTCATCACGCTTCTTCAGCCGAACATCACTCTCCTTCAACGCACCGATCTCCACGAGCAAACGCTCAATGTCTATACATTTGATCAGTATATCATTCTTATTTTACTCCTGCCTTGAACGTAACTTACCTTCGATCTTGGTCCGGGGTCCCTTCAACTGCTGGAGCGTGACAAGCTGCTTCTTGATCTCGGTATCCTTATATACCAGGATTGTGGGCGTGTTCTTCTCTGGATAGCCCTCAATACACATGTCGGCACGAATCTCACAGAACTTGATATCGCCGAATTTGGCAGCAAGCTGCCGCCAGAGCTCCGTCAACACGCGCGATTCAACATTCCCGCCCATCGATGTGAGGTTGACTAGTACGAAAGCATTGTTTGATGCTTCTGTCACCTCGCGGGCATAATCGACTTTCTGAAGTGGGTAGACTTGGTTGAACAGGCTGGTTTGTTGGAGGGTGGAGAGCTCGGCGAGACGCTTTTGCCTGTTTGATTGGTACCGTGAGCAAAGGGAACCCTTTCAGGTATATTAACTATTACATGAAAGCTTACCGGTAAGTCTCGAGAAACGTCTCATCTTCCTCATCCTCCAGTGCGTCTAGCTCATCAAGGTCCTTGTCCTCGAGTCGGTTCTCGTGCGCCCTGTGCTGTGCGGCGATCAGAGCCTCTTGGATCAGAGGTTCGGGGTCTTTGGGCTTTTCGGGAATAATGCCATGTTGACGGAGGATATCATTCCTATACAATATTCAACAACTGGTTAGCTATTGCCTTCAGGTTATACCTTGCCGGTGGCGGGGGTGTGTGCAAGTAATAGACTTACCACTCGGTATCCTCCTTGGGGTCAACTTCAACCTGCATAGTATATTGAAATGATCAAAGATGTATAGATTAAGTTCAATCCAAGCGAAATATGGGGGAACCGAGGGGGAGTTAGAGGGGATGAATGCGCTGCCTTGGATCGTGATGCCACCTGTTTGCAGTGTTTGGTTCGGGCCAAACACACGGAAGGCCACCTTCAACTTGTCAATAGCTGGCAGTTCTCAGCTTTGAGGGTTCGAGATTCACTACCACCGCATTTACCCCGATTATATCCTTGTCTTCTTCTCCGATTTACCCTCTTTAAGCCTTCAATTCCTGCGTGGTTATGCAACTGTTATAGTCACTCACACCGCCCTACCCTGCTTCTGTGTACTCGACCCGTGTCACAATTGCACCAACTCCACCTTTCTAATACGACGGCAACCACTCATTGCTGGTGCAATTCCAGCTGCTGGGCAACATGAGTTACATGAAGAAAAACGAAGATGAGGACCAGGTCATGATCAAGCTTGATCGGACCTCCGTTTTCCAAGATGGTGTGCAATGAACAATACCCCCTGGCGCCTACATGCGCTGCACATATTCAATGCTAACGAGATAACTCTCCTAGCACGCCTATTCAATTCCTCTCCTATCTCGCCGCGAACATGCCGAACGTTACTCACCAAGATCGCTGTCCTCATGTTCACCGGGGAGCAGTTCCCTACGAATGAAGCCACCACTCTCTTCTTCGGAATATCCAAGCTCTTCCAGAACAAAGACCCGTCATTGCGGCAGATGGTGTACCTGATCTTGAAGGAGCTGGCTGGCACCGCCGAAGATGTGATCATGTCGACAAGTATCATTATGAAGGACACTGCGGTGGGAAGCGATGTCTTGTACCGGGCCAATGCCATCAGAGCGCTCTGCCGCATTATCGATGTAGGTCGTCGGTCGCGAGGACTTCAATGGTTGAGGGGATTTGCTGACAATTGCAAAAGGGTTCCACAGTACAGGGTATCGAGCGACTTATCAAGACCGCCATTGTTGACAAGACCCCCTCGGTGTCCTCCGCGGCCTTGGTCTCTTCCTACCATCTCCTTCCCATTGCGCGCGACGTTGTCCGGAGGTGGCAGAGCGAAACACAGGAAGCGGCCTCGTCATCGAAATCATCAACCGGGTTCCTTGGTTTCTCAGGCTCACAGAGCCACGCTATCTCGAACTCGAATTTCATGACACAGTACCATGCCATCGGTCTTTTGTACCAGATGCGCTCGCACGATCGCATGTCCTTGGTTAAAATGGTACAACAGTACGGCGCTGCAGGTGTGGTGAAGAGCCCGGCTGCTCTGGTTTTGTTGGTACGTCTGGCGGCCAAATTGGCTGAGGAGGACCAAGGTCTCCGGAAACCCATGATGCAGATGTTGGATGGCTGGCTCCGCCACAAGCATGAGATGGTCAACTTTGAGGCGGCCAAGGCTATTTGCGATATGCGCGATGTTACCGATGCCGAGGCAACGCAGGCAGTTCATGTTCTCCAGCTCTTCCTGTCCTCTCCCCGGTCGATCACCAAGTTCGCTGCCATCCGTATCCTACACAACTTCGCCTCTTTCAAGCCACACGTCGTCAATGTCTGCAACCCTGATATCGAGTCCCTCATCTCTAACTCGAACCGTTCAATCGCAACGTTCGCCATTACGACACTGCTCAAGACCGGCAACGAAGCCAGCGTTGACCGTCTGATGAAGCAAATCTCGGGCTTTATGGCTGATATCACCGACGAGTTCAAGGTCACTATTGTCGAAGCTATTCGCACTTTGTGTTTGAAGTTCCCCAGCAAGCAGGCCGGTATGCTCGTTTTCCTGAGTGGTATCCTGCGGGACGAGGGCGGATACGAGTTCAAGCGCACTGTTGTTGAGAGCATGTTCGATTTGATCAAGTTTGTCCCGGAAAGCAAGGAAGATGCGCTTGCTCACCTCTGTGAGTTCATTGAGGATTGCGAGTTCACCAAGCTTTCGGTTAGAATCCTGCACCTGCTTGGTTCCGAGGGCCCCAAGACTACCCATCCCACAAAGTATATCCGCTACATCTACAACCGCGTCGTATTGGAGAACGCCATCGTACGCGCCGCTGCTGTCACCGCATTGGCCAAATTTGGTGTTGGCCAGCAAGACCCCGAAGTCAAGTCTAGTGTCCATGTTCTCCTCACCCGTTGTCTTGATGATACCGACGACGAGGTGCGAGACCGTGCTGCGCTTAACCTGCGTCTGATGTGTGAAGACGATGAGTCGGCGAGCGCTTTCATTAAGAACGGTAAGGTCTTGTCCATGACTAGCAATGGTAATTTTACTAATGGTTATAGACTCAATGTATTCCCTTTCCACGTTTGAACACCAGCTCGTCATGTATGTGACGTCTGGTGACAAGGGGACATTCGCTACTGCCTTCGATGTTGCCACCATTCCGGTTGTCTCACACGAGCAGGCGCTGGCCGAAGAGAGGACCAAGAAACTTACCTCAGCTACTCCCACTCTCAAGGCGCCTTCGACCGGTCCCCCGAAGGGCAAGGCAGCCGGCGGTATGGCCGAAGCGGCCAGCGCCTCCGCCACCCAGAAATACGCAGAGCAACTTCTGCAGTACCCCGATATCAAGGCTTACGGTATTTTGCTCAAGTCCTCCGCGCCTGTCGAGCTTTCCGAGAGCGAAACCGAATACGTTGTTACGGCCGTCAAGCACATTTTCAAGGAACACATCGTGGTACAATATGATATCAAGAACACACTTCCGGATACTATTCTTGAGAATGTCACCGTGGTTGCCACGCCAGAAGAAGAGGACGTATTGGAGGAAGACTTTATCATTCCTGCCCCCAAGCTGCCCACAGACCAGCCTGGTGTTGTCTACGTTGCTTTCAAGAAGCTCACCGGCGAGAACAGCGTCCCCGTCACCTCCTTCACAAACATCCTCAAGTTCACCAGCAAAGAAATCGACCCTGTAAGCGGCGAGCCGGAGGACAGCGGCTACGACGACGAGTACCAGGTGGAGGACCTCGAGCTGACAGGCAGCGACTATGTCATCCCGACATTCGCCGGCAGCTTCGACCACGTCTGGGAGCAGACTGGCGCCAACGGCGAGGAGGAAAGCGAAACCCTGCAGCTTAGCAACATGAAGGGTATCAACGGTATGTACAAGTCCTGTATATTCCTCTGTGTTATAAATACTCATACTTTTAATCCCAACAGATGCCACGGAACAACTGATCTCGGCGCTATCTCTGCAACCTCTAGAGGGCACCGACGTGGCCCTCAACAGCAGCACACACACGCTCAAGCTGTTCGGCAAGACCGTCTCCGGCGGCCGTGTCGCCGCTCTCATCAAGATGGCCTACTCCAGCAAGGCCGGTGTGACTACCAAGATCACCGTTCGGGCAGAAGAAGAGGGCGTTGCCGCCGCTGTGATTGTTTCTGTGTCTTAATCCCTTTCTCCCCTTTTCTTTTTGTCGTTACGTGCTTAATCCTGGTCGGGGGGACAAGAGCGTGTGTCTTTTTCATGTGTCTTGGTTCGTTAGATTGCGTCGTCCACCCCTCAAAACTTGTCAATGCAACTTTTCATCCAAATATCATATCATATTCATGCATACACTTGAGTTTCATGGGTATTTCTTCAGTGTAGCAGTTACTAGTGTATAATCGCGAGCTTGATTCTTAATACTGCCTTGTCCGTAGGTTAAGAGTAGACAAGAAGGTCTAAAATTGTTAGCTTATATTAGCCACAGTAGGATATTACGATCAAAGTAAAACAAGTATAAATGTTTGAAAGACAGCTAAAAGATTTTGTTTTTATATGCTTCTTGTAATGCTATGAGATAATTCCACACAGTGCAAAATCAAGGACGCAGACGCTGAGGGTCACGGGGGAAGAGCGAAGCCAAACGGACGTTAGGCAAGCCAAGGAAGAACATAACAATACGGTTGAGACCAAGACCACCACCGGCGTGAGGGGGGCAACCCTGGCGGAAAGCATTGAGGTAATCCTCGAAGCCCTCCTGGTTAGGCTCAAGACCCTTGGAGCGCATAGACTCCTCCAACTCCTTGATATCGTTGATACGCTGGGCACCAGACATGATCTCTTCGCCACGCATGAAGAAGTCGTACGAGTTAGAGAAGCGCTTGTCGTCGGGATCGGCCTTGGTGTAGAAGGGACGGACAGCCATGGGGAACTTGTCGAGCACGTAGAAGTCGGTGTCGTACTTCTCACGGATGATTTGGCCGAGCTGCTTCTCCATCGCGGTGGAGAAGTCGTTCTCGAAGCGTTCTTGCTCTGAGACGTCGACACCGGCTTCCTTCAGAAGCGCAACACCGTCCATGTAGTTCAAGCGCAGCGCCTTACCGTCCTTGGGAAGCTTGAAGTCGCCGGCCTTGGGGTAGGACTTTTGGATGGTGGCGATCTGGGTTGCGTAGCGCTCCTTGAGCTGGGTGAGGATGAAGACAAGGAGGTCTTCAGCGAACTCCAGAACCTCGTGGTAGTGGCCACGGAAGGTCTTCTCGAAATCGAGACCGGAGAACTGTAGGTCATGTCAGAATAATCTGTTTCTTTTTTTCCTGTTCGGGAAAATATATCAGTAGGTCATACCTCAGTCAAGTGGCGGTGGGTGTTGCTGTCCTCGGCACGGAATACGGGGGCGATCTCGAATACGTTCTCCATATCACCGGCGATACACATCTGCTTGTATAGCTGGGGACTCTGCGCCAAGTAGGCATTGCGCTTGAAGTACTTCACCTCGAAGACACCGCTGCCACCTTCTGTGGCAGCACCAACCAGCTTAGGTGTGGAGATCCACCGGGAGCCACTCTTAATCATGTACTCAGCAAATAGCTGGGAGACACCGCTGGAAATCCAGGTGATGGCCTGGCTGGTCTCGGTCTGCAGATCGAGGACCCGGTTATCAAGGCGAGTCTTGAGGGTGACGATGGGAGCACCCTCGGCATCAACCTGAGCACCTTCATCAATGCTCTCTGGGGGCGGGCGCTCAGCATCCTTGACTTGCATAGGGAGCATCTGCGCAGCCTCGGAGATCATGTAGACCTTGCGAATGTGGATCTCTAGGTGGCTGATGGACGCAGACGAGATCGGAATCTCGGGCTTCTTCACAATACCGGTAATCTGCACAATCGAGTTGACGTTCAGGCCTCCGGTGTACTTGATCATCTGTCGCGAGATGGGCTCCGCGGCCGCAATGACGGCCTGCACTTTTTGTCCCTGCTGGCGCAGCATCAAGAATGCAAGCTTAGCACTCTGCACACGCGCATTGTCCACACGCGCCACAACTGTCACCTCCTTCTCGTAGTGTTCCTCTGAGAGTTCGCTGAATCGTGTAGACGGGATGGCGTTCTCGGCCTCTGGGAGAGGGCCGTACAGATCCTTGGCTGTGTCGTTGGCCTCCTGGGCTGCGGCCTGGGCCTTTTCTTGCGCTGCACGCGCCGCAGCCTTCTCTGCCTTGGCCTTATCCTTTGCGGCCTTCTTCAGTGCGTTCTTGCTTGCGTTCTTGGTCTCACCTTCCGCGGCGGGAGCGGAGGCATCCTGGGCCTCGGGCTTGGGACGGTGGGGCAATTCGGAGTCGGCCATGGTGCTGCAAAGACAATTAGAGGGAGCAAAGTGTTAGGTCAGATATGGTGTATCCTACCTTAATAATTTTTTATCCTGAGAAATTTGCAGGAGTTAATACAGCAGGCTGATTGTAAGTAGAGCTGCGGAGAAAACTGTTTCGTCGACTCACCCCGCCGAACGATCAAGCCCTAAGAGGGGTAGGCGGTGTGGAGACTCAGGCAGATCTACCTTGACTGTATATGTACGGAGTACATCCATGCATGTTAATCAGTTGTATCTACATTTGTTATTACATGATAGCTTGAAAAAATGCATTAGAGGTAATTATGTGGATTGGCGCTGGTAGCTATTTGGAACAAACACATATAAACATAGATTGGCGCCATGTTGATGCCGATCTTCATATCAATGTAGAGTATCCAGCGTCCCTTGATAATCATGCAGCAGGCCAGTTCGAGTTCTTCAGTGCCCATTGAACACCTTTTTGCACATTGTCAGCAATTGTCTCAGGGATCCAAGCAGGCTCTCCGCCACGGTATACCCCAGTGCGGACAAGGATCGAGTGCCAGCTACTGCCAATTTCACTGCGATAGGAGTTGGCTCCTCGGATATCTGACTCTGGATTATCACCGACCATATATACTCTTTCCAGGGGCGTGCTTTCAGCAGAGCTTCCAAATGTTCTCAGCCGGTTCCGAAGCAATTGACGCTCTGCAAACTGGTAGGTGGGTTGATAAGGTTTGCCGATCACGGTCCTTTTCAACTCAATACCCTTGCTGGGGCCACCTGTAGCCGCAGCCCAGACGCCCTCAAGCGCTTCCCGGAATCCGCCCTGACCAAGACGGGGCAAGGGGTAGGCGGCGGCCCACCACAGATCTGGATTAGAAAAGTACAGATGGGGCTGGCCATCCTGCTGGTACCCATGATTGGGGAGATCGATTCGACCGTTCTTTTCAGACAAAGTGCCTAGACGGCCTTGCGATGAGAGGAGGAGGTCCATAATAACCTGGGTGTCCAACGCCCAATCACGAGGATCATTGAACACAAAGACAGCGTCGATCTTCAAGGTCTTCGACGCATCATTAAAATCAACGGGGTGCGGGAGCGGTCGGGCAAATGTTTTATAATAGGCGCTGAAGTTCATCGAAAACGGACAGACAGCGGGGTTGGCCATAAGAATATCCGCCGGAGTGACAACATTTTTGAAGCCGTACCTATTACTATTGCTTAGTATATATCATTCAGTAATAGGGAGGGGTCCTTGGCATACCGTTCTGCCACGCGCCGGCAGTTATCCCCATCGCCTCCGGCCACTAACACACACTTGTGTTCTAGGGCGCTCGACTCGTCCGGTCCCTTGACCAGCTCAGCAAAAGGTGAGTGACTCTGCACAATGTCTGTAGCATCCAGTGGTATCCCTAGTTTCTCGCTGATTTCCGCGACACGCTCCGTCTCGTGTTTACCGCCGCCGTTGGTGAGCAGAAGAAAGGGGATTCCTTGCTCCTTCAGGAGAGCAAGCGAGTCGGCGGCACCGGGCAAAGGTTTCGATGCGCGGAGGAGGACGCCATCAATGCTGTAGCATGTGAGAATAAACTCCAGTGAATTGCGTTCGCTAGTCAATACTCACTCAAATGCAAATGCGAAGTTAGGGATCGGTCGAGAACTAGCTGTTTGGATAGCCCGGCGGGTGATAGTTTTATGAGTAGAGAGACATTGACGCTGCAATAGGCCAAATGACCGCCAAAGGGTTTGCGATCTCATTGTGGTCGTGATCCTGGGAAATGTGTACAAAAGGAAATGTACGTCATTTCCAGGTTCCCCCGGGACCGTGCCGGCCAGATCTTTCCCTCCGAACTTCCATTTCCCCACTTTCGACCCTTTACACTTCCCTTTGATTCGAAATTTTAAAGAAAGGGACCATGGTATTTGAATCAAATAGGGTAAATAACCAAATCAATCACGGATTAACCAGCATTTTCACTGTCGGCGCATCATTATTCTCCTCAAAAATGTATCCTCTCTAGTTCAACTAGTACTCTCGCTTCAATCTGTTTTATAGGTTGTGCTATTGTACATTGCTAGAAAGATAGCTGCCGGGGCAGTAGCATGACCCATAAACGGCTAATATAAAGAGAGAGGCATATATATAAGACTTCATAAGAATGTATGAATGAATCTTTAGCACATTGGCTCAGCCATGACATAGAGACCCAAGTCAAAAAGAGAATCAAGCTCTTCCTCAGGACACTTATCAATGTTCTTCCACAACCACTTGTCGATTTTGGCATGTGATGCTTCGGGTATTATTCCAAGGCAGCTAGCGCTGATACCAAGAGCGCACAATCGAGAGAGATTCATTTTCAGGGCCTTGCAAATATCATCGGGATCAATGACTGTAGAAAAGTTCTCGTTATATGGTGCCGTGAGCTCCAGTCCACGAATTGACAGAGGAGAATCCCTTGAGTCGAATGCAGGAAGAATGAGAAATTCGTAAAGCAGATCAATGGGTATTCGAAGAGACTCTAAAGCCATGAGTGCGCGTAAGATCCCAGATGGTCCCTCCTTGAACATCTCGCTATTGGCACTGTGGATGATCAACTGCATAAGTGTGGTACGGAGCTGCTCGTTGATGAGGATATCTTCCAAGATGGGAGTGTTCAGACTGTAACAACCACATAATGTCAACGATACCAAGTTGGGAGGCCACCTGAATGAATACATTTTATCTGTAACAAATTGCCCGCCAACCCGGAGGTATCTTAGATTGGGCGGCCAATCTTCAGTGGAACTATCGTCTGTGATGAGAGTTGAAGATGAGAGCTCAAGAGATTGCAGTTTGTCGATATTGCTGATGGCTTTCTTGATAGCAGGGAGCGCGATTGGCTCAGCTACTAAATCAAGGGAAAGATAGCAAAGCTCCTTGCATTTTGCTAAGGGTGCAAGGCTGTTGATACTGTGGAGAGGAATTAGCTTGAGGTTGGATAGGATGTTGTGATAGCCATTTACTTACGAAAAAGAGATCCTCGGAGCAACAAAAGTCCTCAGGTTCTTCTTCACTCGACCTAGAAGCCGTGCCGTTAGGCTATTCGAGCTGTGATGGACCAATGATCCGAGGTTCAGGACATGAACTAGCGAACCCAAGTCTACTTTTCTTCGCCCTCGGGAGCGAATCGATGGGCACACAGTGTTGGTGAAAAGCAAGAAGCTATTCCCTTCGTCAAGTTGAGGTCGGTAGTAGAGAAATTCGATGCCAGCAGAGTACCACTGGCGAGAGACCGAACAAAATCTTTGAAGCGTGACTTGGTAACTTGGGGGGTCGGCATTATTCCTCCAACCATCAAAAATGAATTTGGCGATGTGTATTAAGACCTCTGTAGGGAGGTAGACACATTGGCGAGAGTTCATGACTTCGGTGAAGTCGACCCGCCTTTGCATTTTACAAGTGGAACAAACAATAAGTTTTCAAATTAATATTGTGAAGAATCCGTGTGCCGAAAATATTATGTGTGGCGTTTCGTAACGATTAAGGATGAAGATGGCAAGGAAGAGGCAACAGAGAGACCGAACCGCTTCCGAGATAGGCAAAGACACAGGTCATCTCAAGTGAAGTGGGATTATTAGTTGATTCAGCATGGAAGTAGAAGGGAAAAAGTTCCAAGGAAAGATAAAAAAGACATGAGGTGGATTGAGACACAAATAATTGGAGATGTGAAGATAGTCCGATGACGATCCTTATCTTTTTTACCGGCAGATCTAGGTCCCCGCCTTCGATAAGCAATTATTGTACACCGCCTTGGGCTCGGTTGTATACAAATTTCTCTAGGATTATGATAGCAGAATAAAACTGGAAATATTGTCAGGAACTGCTGAATACAAATTCATTATCATATGAGTCTCTTATCTTATTCAGGAAATAGGTGGTCAAGTCCATATTCGTTACAAGAGCTTCAAGCCGGTCTGCAGATTGGCCCAAGCTCCTTCGATCCTGCAGGACCTACCATCTTCACCTCACTCTGCCCGACAAGAGAAAAGACACCATGTCGGCCCCTTCGTTGAAACGTCCTCGGATATCTTATGAAAATGATGAAGACGACGAAGCTTCGGTGGCATCTTATGAGCATCCCCGTCATAATCCCCTTTATGGCCAGAAGAACGCATTCCCGGGGTTGGACGATGGAGGCGATGACCTACTCTCCAACGAGCCGGACGATGGATTGGAATACTTGCGCATGGTTCGGTATGCCTGATCCTGTATCTATAGAGCTTTTGCTTTGCCTGAATGATGCCGAGTCTTGTCCGTCGTGATTCAAGTTTGAACTAATTTTTGCTCGATAGATCCGAAGCAAACTCACTACCGATACTTTTCTCTGCACCTACTCCGACCACAGACCCTTCAAAGGTAGCATCGAATACGCAACCAGATTTGACGCTAGTTGAACCGAATGACCCTCATTTACTACCAGGCTTTTACGAGGACGAAGCCTATATTGCGCCTGTGGTGGAGGAGAACACAAACAACGCCGCAAATTCCCCTTCAAAGCTTGATGAGCTCTATCCTGAAGCGCAAAATTCCTACAACAATCTTCTGCGACATCGATTCCTCCTCTTGCGATCGACCCTAAAATGCAGTCCACCCGCCAGTGCTATCAATACCCTCGACAATGACCACCCTATCAGTCTCCCCCGAAAGGCCGGATCTGCGCACAAAATATGGCGCCGGCTTTTGGTCACAGTCGAACCACGTATGGTCCAACTGGCAAGCATGGACATGGACAGTGTGTTAGAAGTGCTAGAAATACTAGCACGGATGATGTCTGATGTTGTGCGCGGCGACGAAACTCAGCGCGTACGGCGTATTGGGGCTTGGGCTTGGGGTCTATTGGGAAGGTGCCGTGAGGTTGGACAACTTTCTACCCGAGAGGTGGGAGTTATTCGAAATCTGGGCAAACGAGCTGCGACTATCTTGCGCAAGGTGCAAGAGTTAGAGAACGAGGAGTATGAGGAGGAGGCCGACTCTTCTGTGGCAGGCCCAGCAAAGGACGAAATCCAACAGGGCGATCTCGTCGAGGATGAGAAAGATACCAAGGCAGAAGCTCGGCAGAGATCTACAGTCCAAAATGAGGAAGCGACCAAGCAGGAAACTCAACCGAAACCTACATTTCAAGGCGAGGAGAACAAGGAAGAGGTTCAGCGGGAGCCTACAGTTCCAAATGAAGTGGAAAGCAAGCAAGCGAAATTGCCGGAGACTGCGGAAGCACAAGACTCCAACATGCCTGACGCATTATCGCTTGAAGAATCCGACTTGGAAGCAGCCAAGGCGCGCTTGCGAGCTCGGCTGCAGAATGATTCCCTGCAGACCAATTCCGACTCTGTCGAGACGCCTGGTAGCTGGGATGAAGAAGAAGAAGACGACGATTGGTCGATACAGACTCATGCCGTGCTCGATATGATCATTACGGTGGTTGGTGAGTTCTTTGGCCAGCGGGATCTTTTGGAGGAACGAGAGATCTGGGAATAGATGGTTGACTTGCATGTATGAGATACCCAATGTTACTTAATATTAATTTCGTGTTACAACGTGCCAATGCCTTGTGTTCTATACGTAGTGCCTGATCGTTGCGAATTTCAACTGACAATGAGATACTAGGCCTCGGCGGATTTCAATGTAAGTCGTGCTAACCGCCAGTAACCTAACTAGATCATGTTGTTCTTAAGATAAAGAGGCTGTAAACATGGCCGACTATTCTTAAAAGCCAAGGAAGGTCTGAAGATTCTTATATGAATATTCCGACCCAACTGTGAATCAGGTGGCAATGGAGTAACAGGAGGTCATCCTTATCACCGCCCGGACTCCAAGCTCGGCATTCATTCTATCTCACACCCCAACTTTTGAGAACAATGACATTTCCATTCCAATTCTAATCAAAATGGCGCCAACCGTTGAGATAGCGATCCCGAATACTACCCTCTCAAATACTTCCCCGCCGTACACCGTCTACCACATCACCCTCCGCCTCCCACTCCGCTCCTTCACGGTTCCCAAACGCTACTCGGACTTCTCGACCTTCCATAGCACCCTCATCTCCCAAACGAATGTCCCTCCACCAGCTCCTCTGCCTTCGAAAACCTGGTTTTCGAAAACCGTCTCGAATGAACGATTGTGCGAAGACCGTCGCCGCGGGCTAGAGGCATACCTTCGCGCGATTAACGAGTCCGACGATGGGCGCTGGCGCACCTCGCCCGCATGGCGTGCATTCCTCAATCTTCCCACCGCAGTTGCATCAACGGGCAACGGCTCAACCACCACCTCTACCCGACTCCACACCGCTATCACAGACCCAGCCGCTACAAATGCATCTCTTACGGACCCGACGCTATGGCTCGACTACTACCGCGACATGAAGAACCACCTCCACGATGCACGACTACAACTATCTCGCAGAGACCAGGAAACAACGCCACAGAAGCAACATGAGAGCTCTTCACAGGCGAAGGGCAGTCTTGTCCGTGCGGGGACAATGATCACCACTCTGGACGATGGACTGAAGCATCTTGGACGCGGAGATAAGATTTCCGAGGCACAAACATCGTCCAGTCTTGGTGGGGGCGAGATACGCCGACGAAAAGACCTGCTCATCAATGCGCGCAAGGAAAAAGACGGCCTGGAGGATCTCTTGCATGCTATGGCAACGAAGAGCCGGCTTGATCATACTGTCGCATCCATTCAAGATAAAGGAGCTTTGATGAATGCAGGGAATGCCGCTGGAGATGCGTCTAGTGGGCGTAGGACGCCGGCTCGGGCGGGCAGGGTCCTTGGCAAAGAGACGGAGCGAACTCGAGAACTTGACAACGATGGTGTGCTGCAGTTGCAGAGGCAGATTATGCAGAGCCAGGATGATAATGTGGATGAGTTGAGAAAGATCATTATTCGACAGAGGGAACTCGGCACGCAGATTAATGAGGAGCTCGAGGTGCAGAATGATCTGCTGAGGTTGGCGGATGAGGAGTCTGATATGTTCGTCTACATCTATGCCCTTTCCTCACGTTTTCCACTTGATTTGATCTGCTTTACTAACGAGGTGTCTAGATTGAAATCCAAGATGGATATTGCAAGGAAGAGGATCGAAAAGATCTCTTGAAGATCTCTTGATTTTGACCGTGCCTGTTTTCCATTGCGCGTAGAGCACTTCTTCCAATATACCTTTGAGCGGGTGTTTACAGCATCATTCAAGCCAATTTATTTGCAAATAACATCCTGTCATTTTGAAAATCTTCATGTACTTGCGTGGATATTTTTTACCCAGTAATAATCCTGCAGAATGGGTAGAAGGTGCAGGTTCCCACTCTCAGTCGCTTCCATCCGGGCTCGATCAAGTCTATCCTTCAACTCTTCTAAGGGAATTCCTTTCTGATCAATCGCGTCAAGCATGGCCTCAAGCATCGCTTTATCGCCCCGTCTCATGCATGCAAGGAATGGGTCATCTTCCAGTTCGCTCAAATTCGGCACAAATATAAACGTTTTTTTGGGACGCCAGGTATCGGGGCTAGGCATTGACCGTTTGACCCTGAGTATTGAGTTGAAATTGTCATCGCTTGCGTCTGTAACGAGTGCGCGATAGCAAGCATGCACCGCGAAGGGATCTGCGCCTCTCTCCAGCAAGAGTCGCACCTGCTGATTTCCGGAGTTGACATCCAAGATGACCCGATATAAGGGTGTAATGCTAGGAAGCCGCCGTTCATCGATATCAGCACCATGGGCTAAGAGCATATCAAGAATGGCTGTAGCATTGATGCTACCGTCAGTGGCTGGAGAATATGGTGCAGTCACTATCAAAGATTGGCGACCGGATAGTAAAGATATTTTAGGATCAACTCCTCGTTCAAGTAGCTGCTTCACCACCCCAGTCATTCCAAGTTGGACAGCGTGCTCTAATCCTTCTTGCGCCCCATAGCTCTCAGGGTCAATCTTCAACAGTCCCCGGTCTAAGACCAGCTCCGCCATTTGTTCTCCTCCCAAGAATGCCCCTTCTAGCAATGTCTTGGGATTCTTTGGGGTATAGAGTCCTCGGTGGTTCGTGGGCTTTCCTTGCTCCTGGGGCAACGGGGGCATTTCCAATGCAATGCCTCTCTCAAGCAAGATCTGTACCGCATCCACTGCACCGAAGTACAATGCTCTGGTGACGGCGTTTTCATCGGTATATAATGGCGTTTTCGTCGGATCAGCTCCTCGATCAAGCAACATGCGAAATATGTCTTCGGATGCCAATGCCGTCGCCTCGGCCAAAGCAGTTTCTCCGCGGCTGCTTATGCAATTTACATCAGCCCCGTGGTCGATCAAAAGCTCTGCAATTTGTACATTGCCCAATTGGATTGCCAAGGATAGCGCGCCTTCATCCTTGCTTTCTCCCTGGTACTCCTGTATATTGGCACCATGCTCAACCAAGAGTCTGGTAATTCCAATATCACCGTTCTGAATGGCTTGGAGTATAGGCCTGTTATACCGCACCTTAAAATGCTGATAGATTCCATCTGCGGAAAAGCCCTGCTCCAGAACACGCTGGACAACATCATCCCACCCATAGCCAATAGCTATGTACAGAATCTCAGCTTGTGCTAGGTCATCTCCGTGGTCTATCATGTTCTCAAAATCGGCGAGGGCTCGAAAGGAAACAGCGAAAGCAGTCCGCTTCTGCCTCTCAACTGATCGCCAGAGTTCATCTTCGATTATGGATGATAACAAGTAGCGTTTTTTCTTTGGGTCCTTGGGGTATATATCCACTTCACGCGCCAACAGAAGATCAAGGATTGTAGCTGACCACTTACAGCTACATGGTAGAGTGTACCCAGACACCCTCGAACCATATCAGGATCGGGATCCGCCCCATGTTCTAAGAGCACTTCCACGACCTCCACATGGCCATTGCCAGCCGCGCAAGAAAGGGCGTTTCCTTGAGGCTCTGCTCCACGTTCCAGGAGCAATTTGACCGTTTCAAGGTGCCCATTTTCCGAGGCAGACTCAAGAAGTGGCTTATCATCACGCGAGGGTTTGGCCCCTTTGTCCAGCAAGTATTCAACCATTCTTGCATCAACCTGATCGACTGCAACAGTGAGTGGTGTCTTATCCTCGTATCTTCTTCTTTTGTCGTCCCAGGCGTAGCCAGCCTCGATGAGAACTTGCATAACGGCTAGGTGTCCGCTGTTTACTGCCGCAAATACGATATCGGAGCATATCGGAGTACATTCGCCGCAACCATGTTCGAAAGTTATCTTATAGGCAAGCAAGAGCCTGACAATGGCCACGTTGCCACGCAATGCCGCCGCATATAGTGGATTGAGAACTTTCGAGGCGGCGGCATCGGATTTCTGACCTTTGCACAGCTTGCAGCTCTGCATTTTTGTGAATATACTAGGGTCTTTGTTTTGTTCCAGTATCAGTCGGACGATGGTCTCATGGTTGTTGTTCACTGCTGCGACGAGCGATTGTTGAAAGTTGTAATGACATGAATATGTGGAAGCTCCAACGTCAAATGCTTGGCGAATGGTCCCTTCGGAGCTATGCTGTGCTGCCCATACAATGGGGAACCCGTGTGATGAGCGAGTGCTGTTTTGATAGAGCATTGGGGTCAACAGCAGATATAGCCGCGAACATGTCTGCGCCAACGAGTTGAGGTAACGTGCTGGCTCGAGGAGGTCGACAATTAAGTAGATGACCTCGACTGGAAGATGAGAGAAAGACACGTAGGACGGCATGTTGAGTATATGCATCTAATGGAGAGATGAGCAGAAGGATTGATTGTGTACAAAATAAATATCTAGATGTTTGAGGGTGGAGACTGGAGTCATGACGTGGTGCAATTAATCCATGTCTCAAAAAGACTCCCAGAGGTATCATTACATTGCGTGAAATAGCTTCGAATAGAGTGGAGTGTGTATTTAAAGAGAAATTCTAGACATGGTTTGTACATCTGTTATCTCTTTCTTATACAATTGAGGACATTGAGGGTTCTATATGTCCACGGGTACCGACATAAGCAAAGGTACGTATGCAGTATTCCCAAAGCCCGTGTAGTACCTGCCATAGTGTTCTTGTTCTATAGATACCTAACTAACAGGAAAGATGCATAGATATATATGAATGTAGTGCAAGGACCTGTGATATTGGTGCCATAGAACCAGAGGGGGTTCTCACTGATGGGATATGGGACGGGTGAATTCAGGGGGTTCTGGACCTGGCGGTCAACGAGTTCGAATTATTCTACTCCGTACGGCAGTCTGCATATCAAGGCCAGTCCCCTAGTTGATTCTGGGCTCTTTGATTGGATCTGCACTCGACCGACGGCATAAGGCATAATGCAGGACTTGGCTCCCAACAAGAACCGTATATTAATCACAAAGAAAATGAGATATGTCATTAAATATATTGAAGATGTATCGACCCAGCGTCATAGTTTGCAGGGTTGTTTTCTCGTCTAAAACGAAATTGACATCGTTCTTTGTATCACTCAGAATCACCGAGGCTCCACGGAGGTTGACACATCAACAGATCGGGTCACTCCTATGCCATTGAATGTCAATTTTGGCGGACCTCCTTTCTCACTATTGCCGTGGATTATTGTCTCGAACTTCGGATTTGCCTGTGCATTGTGCATGAGTACCTCCTCGTCCGAGCCTGTCGTTACAACACTCATTTGATTCTTGCTTCGATCCATTGTACCCCGGTTTCGTATCGCGCTCATTTTGTAGTCGGACTCGAGCGTTACTTTGTTGCTGGAATATTCGTGGTAGATTCGAATTATGAGAGCCGAGAGAGAAGGGAGACAGGTACAGATAACGCCGATGGAGACTTCCGCATTACTGGAAAGAATTTCGCAGTTAGAATGCATCGTCAAAAAGATAGGCCGAGAAAACGTACCCTAGCATATTGATTCTCATAAACGTACGAGAAAGATCCTTCGACTGTCCGGTAACGACAATAAGTGCCAACCGGATGATACTGGCTGCAACAGCCAGGCCGCCCGCTCCCAAAATACCCATAACCCGCATCTTTCTCTTTGTAGAAATTTGCAGAGTCAAAGTTAATGGTAATGGCAAGATGAGAATGATCAAATCACTGACCACACTGACGACGACATCAGCCAAAATGATCGATGTTTGGTCGAAACATGTGCCGTCAATACTCTGGTCCCAGAATTTGGCGATGGGGTTGCAGATTCGGATTTTGACGCTGACAGCCGGGATGTAGTAGGCCAACATGATTCCCATAAAGACCTTGATAAACATGACGCATTTTCGGAAGGGGCTGAATACACGAATCATGATCCAGAGGAGACACAATTTTGTGAGATAGGCTGTTGGTCCATACATGACCATTGTTGCGTATATAGTCTAGAGAGTCAGAAGTCTGGATACCCATCATTCGTGTGCTTTGTATACCTTTTGGAAAGGAATCTTGTTCTCCTCGGGGACATCCGTCCAGTGTAAGCCTCCTCCGTAATGACCCACTGTCCTTGCGTTAGATATAGCCTGTCACCTGTGGTACTAGAGACATACTGAGGAGTGCAATGATTGAGTAACAGATGCCGAGGAACTGTTCAAGATATTCTGTTAGCCTAAGTTGCCCTCTTTCCATGTATGTAGTAGTCTTACCCAGGCAGCTGTGCATATCCCTATTGAGGCTGTCAGTATTCACCTGTTCTGTACGCTTCCATCCAAAAATTTCACTCACAATCCTGCTTCCCGAATCCGCTGAGAATGAACAACCGAGTATAAACACGAAGACCGAAGAAGACCATCATGCCAATGATACATAATGACTGGCAGGCGTAGTTCCAGTTCTGCACACTCCGATCAATGGACGCATTGTCAGAGCCCCGTTCCAGCAACGGCATGGGGGACATCACGGATTGCTGTAAGTTTAGAACCAGTACCGGGGCCAGGCGCTTCAAGACATCCCCATCTTTTAAGCAATATCAGCCAAGAATCTAGAAAATAGAAGGGCCAGAAAATAGGGTTCAGACATCCCTGATTGAAATTTTAAACTGACATGCTTTTACGAAGCTGCATTGTTGAAATCGGGCTATTGATCACCTATGATCGGCTCGTTTCAAACAGAAGAACCAGCAGAACTCTATTATCTACTCACAAATACAACAGGATTAATCAATTATTCATGTCTGAAGTCTGTAAATAACAAAATGTTACTCCTCGGTGGTATGGTTCGCCAACTTTTTTCTGTTGTCTTGCTTTGGCACTACGATCATACGTTGGATACATTGTACCTACAGTGTGTATGTAGCCCCTGGTGCACGGTGCACACAAATACACGGTTGCGTGCATTCAAGCTTTCATGCTGTCATGTAAATGACAAATCGTAATTGTACATGACCTGGAACTCGACCTACATATCTTCCTGGCATGAACTGCCCAGATCAAGCCAATAAAATGCTTATAGCGGCTCAGAACAAGCAATACATATATGCACATACACGCTTGCATATTCTCTTGATCATATTGGCATTCACGTTGTAATTACAATTTCTGGGCTTGAAATTGAGTTAGTCTATACGGGAAGTGGACCCGAACGGCTCCATCAACCGTGGTTGCGCACAGCATGATTTCCAGAGGTCACTTTTGACCCACGACGGCATGTTTTGAAGACGCAGGTTCGTCAATTAAAGTGGAACCTGTATAGGTTGTGGATCGCAGGGTCCGTCCGCTACAGATGGTGGAGATTTGGATAAGTTATCCTGGCCCCCAAAAGAAAACGGAAGTCAAAAATACGAGGCAAAAAGTGTACGGACTACTCCGTACGTTGTGCTCTCTATTTTATCTCTACTAGGAAACTTTACCGCGTATCATTATTTTGTTGCCGTGTCGATGTGTCCATCGTAGATCCTTTTCCGCTGGTCCGTTCGGCCTCGAGCCTTCGGCGAACAGTCTAGAACATAATGTACAACGTTTCCATGACGGTTGATCACGCCCGAGTTGCCCTCGTTGAGTCCGTACTTTGTACACTCTAGTGGGCTAGCATGGAATTTCGACACTTCCAACGGTGCGGCACCACACGAGCCGGCCAGTCAATGGGATTTATATAGGGAATCTACCCAGGTACCGGCAATGACTACCGGATGCTTGATTGACTATGTGACAAACCACTCCATATATTGTACATGTACATCGTACTCCGCAGACAAGTTGGACCTAGAAAATAGCCATCACATTCGGAGGCGAGGAAACCCCACCGGGCATGTTCAAAGGTACAGATGCCACGAAAAAGCTCCACCGTTGGAGTTCCTGGCAGGTCCGTGCCAGCGCCTCAAGATCGAATAGTTCCCCTGTTGGTTATGAATCAATATAATGGACCTGCGGAACTCGGGTAAAACGTCCCGGCGACTTACCGATCGGCATTCCCCATCCAGCAAGCACATATTCATGGAGGAATATGTCAGGGGATTGTGGTGGGTAGACCTGTGGATCTGTCAGTTGAGTTTCTTGATCGGCTTGCCACATATCGAGAGAAATTTGTGGTCTATCTTTCTTATCGCTCACCTCCCAACTGATTGCATCACTGGCGATGGCGGCGAATCCAGTGTCCCACAGCCAGCGAAGGACCTCTGTGGTCGCTTCAACCCCAGCATGCTCCGGGCTGGGGTTATCCGAATAAGCTTGTTTTTGGGCGTCTGTCATGGACGTGTCCCACTCCTTGGTCACTCCTACACGGACGAACAGAATATCACCCCTTTGAAACGTGATCTTATTCTCCTTGGCAATTTCAAGGATATCGGCAAAGCGCACTTGGTGGGTCGAGAATGTGGTGTACTTAATCCCCTTTTTCTCGGCCCATGTGGCGTAGTCGATCAAGACTCCACGTCCTATTGCAATTGTGTGAGATAGTATCAGGGGAGTCGTGTATTCATCTGAAGGGGATGTGTACCTGCAATACCCTCTCTAGCCCAATGCTGAAGACCAATTCGATCATTTTGGCGATCATTGATTTCCTCACTAGTCGTTCCACCGTAGAACAGACGTTCAGACTGACCAGGTACTGTCTGGGAAAAATGGCGCAGGCCATCCCACTGGCTACTTTGCTCTGTCAAACAGTCAATATAAGGGAGAATAGCAGAATCACTCTCAACTCACGTGGGTTCATAGTATAGATGTCATCGAATGCCACACCTCCCAGAAGAGGCACAATCTGATGGTGACATGGCTGACGGTTGAGATTAGGATAATCCAACTTCGTCATTTCCCATCCCATTGTGACGCGTCGACCACATCTTATCTCGCTGGCGGAAGCCGCGGCGACGACTTCAGGGGTAAGGATGGCTAATTTCCCTAGACCCTCTTCATAGCTACCTGGCTTTCCTAGCCAAACCTGCTTTGGATTCGGGAGCTGATCAAACGGGGTGTCAAATGGAGATTGGGCCATCGTTCTGCTGTTCTATTGTGGTTTCTGCGATTCAAAGTTGGGAACAAAAAGTATACTTTATAGAGCCCGGGATGTCGTGTTCTTTTTCTAAATGGAACTTCGTGCATGACACTAGCACGGACCGCAAGGACCTTTTTCCTGACATCGTACGGAGCACCTCCGTTGTGGAGATGTAAGGTCTCAATAGCCTCGGAACGGGATCCGCACTCTAATGGCTCCGCAATTGGACCCCCGCGGAGTATTCTGTACAACATACTACGCTCACAGGGTGTATGTATGTACGTTGTACTTGGTATAGCATGCTGGAAACGAACTTCACTCGACAAACGAGCGTTACTTAACTTGGCATGTTGACAATACGCAATTTCAGGGTCTAGGCTCAAAAGTCTTTGTGCCGTGATCGGCAAGCCACTTGTATTTCTTGCGAACTTTATGCAGCTCTCGGTGGGCCATACACAGAGCACCCCAACGGGGCCCCCTACTTATTGTCGGCTACAAACATGCTGAAATTTCTCCCCCATTCAAACCCGATGCTGATATCCTTCATTATACACCCTTGATTCATTAAAATTTGTAAGGACTACAACATACCATCATGGGTAGGTTCGGGTCTCAGACCAGCTCCTATAACAGGCTGGTTATCGTTTTTGTGGCTGTTGGGTCAATGGTGAGCTCGCAGATATGTTCAGATCTCTGCTATTCACCAAACTGACACAAATAGACATATGGATATTGCTCTTCGATTATCTCCAGTACAATCGGCCAGCCAGGATGGTATGCCTACTTCAGCCTGCCCGCCGAGGGTGAACCGGGATACGCGACAATCACTACCCCCGCGATCTCGACAGCAAATGGTGTTTTCAGTGCTGGTGGTGCTGTTGGTACACTTTTTATAATGTGGTCGTGTGATTTCTTTGGCCGAAAGGCAAACATCCAGTTCGGTGCCTTCTTTTCTCTATTTGGAGGAGCACTTCAAGCCGGCTCGAATTCACTGGCGTATGTCGCTTCTCTTGCTCGAGGGTTAAACTGGCGCTGACAAGTTTTAGTATGTTCCAAGCTGGTCGCTTCATTTGTGGTCTTGGAATCGGTATCCTCGTAACCGTCTGCCCTATGTATCTTTCCGAGATGTCGAGTGCTCTGCGCCGTGGCTGGCTTGTCGGCCACCATGCCATTTTCTTGGTCTTCGGATATATGCTTTCGGGATGGGTGGGGTATGCCTGCTACTATGCAACAGGCCCCCTATCTGGGTTTGGCTGGAGATTCCCTCTCGCCTTGCAATGTCTGCCCGCGTTGGTGCTGCTTCTGGGATCTCCTTGGCTCCCGCGTTCACCTCGTTGGTTGATTTCGAAGGGTAAGCTCGATGAGGCGCAGCATGTTCTCGAACGGCTCCGTGAATCACCAGATGACCCGAATAACTTGGCTGCCAAGGAGGAGTTCTTCCAGACGAAAGAGCAAATCCGACTCGAGGCTGAGAGATTAGCTACTTACGGCAGCGTGTGGAAAGCTGTCTTTACAAGGAAAACATACCGAAAGCGAATGGCTATCGGTTTCCTTGCCCAATGGGGCGCTGAATTTGGCGGGCCTTTGATCATTGTAAGTGTGGTAATATCCGATTGAGAAGTATATCCCACTGACAACGGCTAGAACAATTACGCTGTTCTTCTATACAAAAACTTGGGCATGGAGGGTGGCATGCCTCTGCTCTTGAGTGCTGTCTGGCTGACAACAGCTGGTGAGCATAAACATCCAGGATCTACTGTGTACCCAGTTGGCTAACCTAGCTCAGGTGTCATCTACAATCCTCTGGGCGCCTGGCTCCATGATAAAATTAACTCCCGGCGCGGCATGTACATGACCGGCTTTGTCGGCATTATCGTGTCTACATCCTGTCTGGCTGCTATGACCGCCCAGTATGCTGGTACAACCAACAAGGTCGGAAATGGATTTGGTATATTCTTCATGTACCTTTATCTGGCCTTCCAGGGGTGAGTCAAACTTCAACATATCAAGTCCGCTGAATATATCGAGCTGACATTCCTGCAGTACTTTCTGTGATACCACCATGTACCTCTATGTCTCCGAGATCTTCCCGACTGAAATCCGACCAATTGGAATGGGCTTTTCTCTCTTCGGTCAATTTGCTGGTAAGTTGTTCGTTATAATTTCGCCTCCAAATTCTAACTGACATACTTAGCCACCCTCATCCTCCTGCAAACCGCCCCCATGGGCTTCGGGAATGTCGGCTGGAAATATTATCTTGTCATTATTTGCTGGTCTGCATTCTTCATTCCCGGTATGTTTTCTTCCTAATAATATCAAACCGACCCGTCAACTAAAAATTCGCTAACTAAAATTGCAGTCATCTACTTCTTCTTCCCCGAGACTGCTGGTCTCACCCTAGAGGAAATCGCCAAAAACTTCGGCGAGGAGGTTGCTTTTGACCTCACCGGCGCCACGGACGAGGAAAAAGCTCAGCTCGACCACCAGCTAGCCACAGATGACGTTCAATCATCTGTGGGCTCAGAGCTAGAGAAGGAAACTAAGCCGTCGTCAACAGACGGGGCTGAGCAGCATGTGCCGAAAGCAGAATAAACACGTCCTTCGAGTATTTTCAGCTCTTGAGCGGAGAGTGGCCTGCCGACAAGGAATAACTCCTGGGTGAATTATTCCGAGGTTGAGTCTATTGTTGACTCATGTCTTATATCGAAACAGGGAAACTTACCCCACGCTGCATAAGTGGTTGACCGGGGATTAGATTGGTTAGATTTTAGATTTCGTCTTGGTAACTCATAATCACTTCAACTTGTAAATGATCAGCAAGTTTCCTCAGTATTGAAACTGACAATACCCAATTATGTCTTTGAAACACAATGAGCTCAAGATAAGTCTGATTATACAGTTCGATGTCTCAGTCAGGTAACTTATCGTGCCTAGTATACGAATGAGGAAAATAGGCAAGCTTGGGATATATAGACGATAAGACGATTTATTGAGGAAGGAAATTGCAGGGCGTCAGTGAAGGCCCTATATCGTGTCAAGAAGGGTTCCAGTTCCAGAAATTTCATGCCTCTCCGCAGAACATGCAGCCCAGTAAAATATATATATCTGCAAGTTTCCATGTTGAATTGTACTGACCTTCTCGCTTTCTCATACTTCGACCTCCTAGATGTGGCACGCTAAACCTAATTTGGACAAGGCAAACATCGCGGGTATCATTTTTCCCGAGGTCTTTCTTTCATCGATCATATACCTCTATGCGTTGTTTCTCGAGCCATGAGAAACGACGATCGGCGCTCTGCATCGCCCGCAACGCGCAAAAACGGCACCTTGCAGTCGTGTGAACCCTGTCGGAGATCCAAACAGCGATGTGACCATGACCGGCCGGTTTGTCGCCGATGCACCGCAAAAAGAATCAGCGATAAATGTTTTTATCATCCAGCCCCGATGACTAGACGGAGACCATCCGATTCAGTCAATCCTGCGATAGTCTCTAGTCGATTGACCAGTCAAGCAACTTCAAAGTAAGCATCTCCTGCAACGGATGATAGGCCCATACTAATATGTAGAAACAGTGCTTCCAGTCCAGGCTCAGGCTCACTGGGCAATGGGCGCTTCTTCACGCCATTGGAACCACCCGCAGCTCTTCCTGGATATCTGGGATCGACAAGCTACTCTGCGGTTTTGACTGAGCATCGCAGTGAGATTTCGTTCGAGCCCGAAGAGAGCACAGATTCCTCTGCGGGGTTGGCAGTGGAACCCGATCGACTTCAATCCGGGGTTGATGTTCTGCGGTTTTTGTATAATCTCACTGTGTGTGATATGCTGATTACTCGGTTCTATGGTCGGACATGGAACAACACCGTCGTGCCTAAAATCGTAATAGACGAACTTCTGCGGTCGGTGCGCGATATATTTGACGGGTTCTCCAGTGATCCGACGGCACAGCTACAAGATTTGGCGAATCAAATATTTCAAAATACCTCCCGCCCGATGCGGACTCACAAGTCTATGTCAGTCGAGGAGTACTGTTCCTCTTTCACCGGTCACAACCTCCGCTGGGAGGCACTCGGGTCTATCTTCGCTCTTTGCGGAATGCAATTGGCCATTACGCCAGACAATGACCCTGACATTACGCGGGGCTCGGATGAACCTCGAGCAAAAGACCGGTTACTAGAGCAGGTTACTGTGATAAGTACCGTATGCCTTGGTTTCTGTGACCAGACATCGTCTGCAAACGAATTGCTGGCAATGTTGCAATTCAATGATGCTATGTTGCGAACACAACAATATGGTGATTCCAGTAAGACTTTCCCTTTCTGTAAGATCTCACGTCCTATCGATTTACTGACCAGCTGTTAGGCTATCAAGCATGGCGTCGATTGGGGGACCTGGTATCCACGATTTATGCAGCTGGGCTACACTTAGAGACTAATTGCATTGAGAATTGCCCATTCTTTCTTCGCCAGTGGCGGAGGCGCTGCTTTGTTGCTTCCTTCTATATGGACAAGATGATAGCAACATTTGTTGGGCGGCCGCCACTGATGAATGGTCGATTCTGCACACTCGATGCTCCATTAGATCTGAGCGACGAAGTCCTGGTTGCAGGTGGAGATGTCCTCAGCAATGCTATTTCGGAGCTAAACAGCGCCGGATGGAACAGTCAAGGGAAGTTACACCTAGTGACCCCAACTCGCCTACGCTATCAGCTAGCTATCATTCGGGAAGAAACTCTTGAGGTTGTACTGGGGACTCGTGAGCAACACAATTTAATCCAGAAATCCGAGTATGTCTTTTCCAATTCACATGTTTTCTTAGTGCTGACTTTATAATAGAGAAATCCAAGAGAAATCGCGCGCCATATGGCAGTCATCTCCGGATCAGCTTCGATATGACCGGCGATCGAACGACCATTTCCATGATGGGTGGCTTACTATTGTCTATTTCTATTTGGATTATCTATACACCTCATTTTTACTCTATCGAGCAGTCGCCAAAAACACGAACACCGGACAAGCAGATCTTTGCGATGTATCTCGTCGGGTGCTTGCTATCGTCATTCAGATTAATTCGTTCCGAACCCCAATGGTCGATCTAGACCGGCATTTTTCTTGGATCGTATGTCATCCATGTCTGCCACTCATAGACATCTACTAATAAATTCAGGTCCTCACGTACGGTGTTCCTTCCGCCAGCGTCCTTCTCCTTGAACTCCTGCGCCAATCGCATGAGCCCGGTCCACACACTGTTCCTCTCCCACGTGCTGAGCTGATCCGCAACCTCAGTGTGTTTATTTCTTTCCTATCGTGGGTCGCATGCCCCGGTCACGGCAACTATCATACCTGCAAACAAGCGGAGAAAAAGCTGTCTCGCATCCTTGATCAGTTACTCGATCCACAGCCTGTGCAGCAGCATGTAGTGGACGATGTGACAACAGGCCTCGACAACTTCCTCAATTGGTCAAACTACAATACGATCTGGGACTTCAATCCCGATTATATGCCCCTTACCGAGGGCCTTGCGCCTTAAACCTTGGTCATTGCATTATCGTGGAGATGATTTAGAGGTAAATATTTATTCATCACATCGTTGTTGTATTACCCCCTCCCTTCCAATCATTGGCTGTATCTGGTCATACCATCCACAGATAATCTGTGCGGGGAGGTGTGTCGGCCACATAGTATGCGCGATGACACAGCGGGCAATTGAAGTGGTCACCCAAGAACCACTTCTCCAGGCATTCCCGGTGAAAAACGTGCAAGCACCGCAGGTCGCGGATCTCCTGCGTGCGGTCTACCTGCTCCAAACAAACGGCGCTGAACAGAGTGGTCAGCCACTACTCTACCGGAAAAGCAAGGTAGACATACCAAACGAACTGTCCATCGACGGCCTCAGACAGTCCGAGATTCCCCTTCGTGGTCGCCCACCACTTCTCGAGGGTACAAGTTGGCGAGACCTTGTCCAACTTGCGCAACCGCTCAGTAGGATTTTTCCTTGATCTCAAGAATGACTGCCTGTCCCGGCGGTTGATGAGTATTGTCAGACTGAATGATACGGTTAGCGTGGGATGGAGTGGCATGGTTTATGTAACATGTCACAACCGACGGAGGAAATGTATCGGTGAGAATGGGGAAAGGATGGAGGAGACACAAGAGGTAGCATACACTAAGATGCAAAAATCGAATCTAACTCACATCAAACTAAGTGCGATGAGCAGCACCACTCCAAGTCCGATGCCCAAGACTATCGCCATATGGTTCTTCTTCAGTTTCGCATCTTCAGCCATCTCTCCGAATTCAAGATTCTTTGTTGCACGAACGGTCAGAGTCGGGTCGATGAGAAGGGTGTGATAGTGACCAAGATCGAAAGCGAAATAAAAGATTGGATTCAAAGGGCTTTGGTTCCGAAGTGCCAGTGATCACAAGCTAAAAGTGGGTGTCACAGCCCGGTCGCCGTGCCGGGCCAGAGAGTCTGATGGTGTTACAGCACTGTATTTCTTAAAGAAAAAGATACAAAGAGCCGAAACCAGTCAGAATACGAAGAAACGAGTCCCGAGGTAGAAAAGAACCTCAAAATCCAAAGGCGAGGCCAAGGTAAGAATTGCAGTAATGACAGGGAAGATGCATTGATCTGGGGATGCTATCCCATGTCCAAGCGTCAAAGCGGGGAAAAGACGTGGATTATCGTACGATGGGCGGTTGTTTTCCTCTTGGCCTGATTGTCTTATTTAGGCATTGAGCAGCTTTGTATCGAACCAATCAACACTGGGAGATGGAAGGGATAGCCCGGGGGCGGAATGTTGATCGGCTGGATTGTCCTTTTGGTGATCATGGGATTCATCGAGATACTTGGAATATAACCAGATGCCTTCTTATTACTTGGTATTTGCCTAATATTCATATGCTATTCTTTCGAGATTGGTCTGGGAATAATGCTAGTAACACTGATTTACAGCCAAGACGACTAGCCTCTACTGTCCTACTCCCTACTTTATCATTGCAAGGGTTGTATTAATGTGATGGACACATTCTTCGAAGATTCTAGCTGGAGTATTGACTCTTTTCTGGTATTCTAGACTCCTACTTTATTTTACATCGGGACTATTAGGGTCTAGATCTAACCTAATTAGAATCATGGATACTATGAGCGAGCAGAATGTAAGGTCAATAAACACTAGACAGTAGTTACAGCCCAGTCCGTACGTCGATTGCCAAGTTAGTGAGAAAGTCCTCACGATTAGATGATAACAGAGCGAAAGGGATATACTGGTCTACTAGGTAGGCATCGTATGGCTGTGATGGTATATAGTGAACAAAAGATAACTAGTGAGGGGGACATATAAAAAGAGTTCCTTACATGGTCAGATAGCTATGTGAAACATATACTTGTCTAGTAGGCTTTGGTCGAAGCAATAGAGTTTCTCAGAAGTCGCATTCGTTTAGCTTTAATGTATGCTTAATAGCAGACCTGCACATTCAAATATATTTTTCTCTCCCTGTCTAGCAGTTGCATTTCTAGTTGATGTCATGCATACGCGGTATTCTCGCTTCTTCCCTTGGCTTGCTTAGCGTGCGTCAACCAATGAGCAAATCAAC